TTGAAAAGAGCATTCCCGAATGGCAAGAAGGGCAGCAGAGTCATTATTACCACGCGCAAAGAGGATGTCGCTGAAAGAGCAGACGACAGAGGTTTTGTTCATAAACTTCGTTTCCTAAGTCAAGAAGAAAGTTGGGATCTCTTTTGTAGGAAACTACTTGATGTTCGAGCAATGGTTCCAGAAATGGAAAATCTAGCTAAGGAAATGGTGGAAAACTGTAGGGGCTTACCTCTTGCAATTGTTGTATTGAGAAAGAATGGAGGATGTCGCTGAAGGCTTCTTGAATGAGCTAATAAGACGAAGCTTGGTTCAAGGGGATTATACATTTTGGGAAAGAGTTACTAAATGTAGGGTTCATGATTTACTCCGTGATCTTGCGATACAAAAGGCATTGGAGGTAAACTTCTTTGACATTTATGATCCAAGAAGCCACTCCATATCCTCTTTATGTATCAGACATGTGATTCATAGTCAAGGAGAAAGGTACCTCTCACTTGATCTTTCTAACTTAAAGTTGAGGTCAATTATGTTCTTCGATCCCGATTTTCATAAGATGAGTCATATAAACTTCAGGAGTGTGTTCCAACATCTATATGTGTTGTACTTGGATATGCATGTTGGGAATGTGTCTATAGTACCTGATGCAATAGGAAGTTTGTACCACCTCAAGTTGTTAAGATTGAGAGGTATCCGTGATCTTCCGTCTTCCATTGGCAACCTCAAGAATCTACAGACACTTGTTGTCGATGCGGGCGGATTCACTTGCCAACTACCCCGCGAGACAGCTGACCTGATAAATTTAAGACATTTAGTTGCTCGGTACTATTCAAAACCTCTGGTACATATAAGCAAACTCACTAGTCTTCAAGTTCTTGAAGGTGTTAGTTGTGATCAATGGAAAGATGTTGACCCTGTTGATTTAGTCAATCTTCGAGAATTAAGCATGTTTGATATTAGCAAATCTTACTCCCTAAGCAACATTAGCAGCTTGAAAAACCTTAGCACTATCAGTTTGTTTTGTGACGGTTATAATACATTCCCATCCCTTGAATTTGTTAATTGTTGTGAAAAGCTCCATAAATTGAGGTTAGAAGGGAGAATAGAGAAACTGCCTGATCTGTTTCCAAATTCCATCACAACGATGGTTCTGAGGGACTCAAGACTGACGGAAGATCCGATGCCTATTTTGGGAATGTTGCCAAACCTAAGGAATCTCGATTTGTTTAATGCTTATGAAGGAGAAGAAATAATGTGCAGTGATAACAGTTTTAGTCAACTGGAGTTCCTTTGTATTCATTGGCTTGAGAACCTAGAAAGATGGGATTTGGCCACAAGTGCCATGCCTCTGATTAAAGGTCTTGGTATTAATGCCTGTCCATATTTAAAGGAGATTCCAGAGAGAATGAAAAACGTGGAGCTGTTGAAGAGGAATTATAAAAAGTGGTGAAGTTTTTCAAGCATATATATATATATATATATATATATCATGTCTTCATAATCGTAGAGGTATTGATGGGGGCATTTCCGCCAAGCACATTTAAGACAATGCTTTATATGTTAAAATGAAATTAAAAATAGTATATGGTACTCTCTCTTGTCCACAATTTAGCATTTTTTAAGGACATTTTTAACTCTTTTAAGATCAAACTACAAACGGATGATACTTTTGTTCCTTTCACATAGTTTAAAGGCATTTTTAACTCTTTTCCCTCTTTTATATAAATAATATTGTGTTAAATCAACAGAGTAGAAGCTGTCACTTGAAGGCATTCGCCTTCATCAACTTGGCTTCTCCAACCATCAATCAACTTGGATTATTTCTAACATTCTGTTTTTTCTTCTGTTTTGTTTTTTCAATGTTTAATTTCTTTCTGTTTTTGGAAACATGTGTTGGAAGATAACTTTTTTCTTGGATTTTGTGATGACCTAATTAACGGAACAAAGTTAAAAATGTTCTTAAATTATGTAAAATGAAAAAAAAAATATCCTCAGTTAATAGTTTGATCCAAAAATATCATTGTCTCCAATAATTTGATCTAAAATGCTCTTATTGTTACTTAATAAGTCAAAGCCGTCTTTTTTCAATTAAATATATTATTTCTCTTTTTTTAAAACACGTTCTTTTCCTAATAATGATTTTTTTTCATTGGTAAATGTTCATCCTACTTCAATTTATAAAAAATATTACTAATAAATAAAAATGTTTTCTATACTATTAGAAAGTTTTTTACCGTTATCTAAATGAAAATTAATGACGGGGTTACTATGAGGACATATAATAAAAGAAGTTGAGAACTCGCTTAGTGTGGAGCGAGAATAACAAAAAAAAAAACTTACAAACTCGCTTGGTGTGGAGCGATTTTTGGGGGCAAAAAATAGAGAGCAAATCGCTCATAAGTAGCGAGAAAAAAAGATAAAATAAAAGAGAAAATTGCTCATAAGTCAGCGAGATGATCAATTTTTTTATGCCGTTAACTGTAGTTATAGCACAACATATCTCGCTCCTTCTCTAATGAAGTGTCCCTTTTGATTAAACCAAAATTGAATGACCCTTTATGTATTTTAAAGAAAAAAAGTGATGTTTTTAACTTTGAATTCGAAATTTAATCATCCCAATATAATTCATGAATGAATTTTTATATCAATATTAAAATAAAAATAAAAAAAAGAAGTATAATATATACTAGCAGGGAACTACATGTGATTACTACAAAAGATAAATTCAATTTCAGGTGATATTTGGATCTGAATTGTCTTACCTTGCTATCATAATATTATTTTTGTTTTTATCCATTAAAAAATGATACATTTACATATTTATTACTATTAATTAAAGTAATATCTTTAATGTGTCATTACATAATATCCCCCAATTAGTAAAATGTTTGGACTTTTTTTCATGTGAGAAACCCATCCTTATTGAAAAAGGAATTAATACATTTTAGCTCAAAATCTACGAGGTTTAGAAATAGAAAATCTTCTTACATAACTGTACAGATGACAAAAAAAATCAGCAAAAATGGCGGCATGCATATATAATGAATTATATGTTATGTATCGATATTGTATAAATAGTTATTTAATGTATCAATATTGGATAATAGTATATAGTTATGTATTTATAATGTATAACAATGTATTATATATATATATATATATATATATATTACCCTTATTGGATAATAGCATATAGTTATGTATTTATAATGTATAACAATGTATTATATATATTACCCTTGAGGTTAAGAGTTGGTGCAACAAAGGTGTTTGATGGTATGCTTGAACCAAATAAAAGATTTTTCATTATTTTTTCTTACAGATTTTCAACAATATATATATTTCTCTGTCCAAGTTGTTATGATTGAAGATAAATGAAGATTATTATTGCACTTATACATAGTAAAAAAATACCTATTTTTATGATAAAACTTTTTGGTGCTTTAGTGATTGATTGGAAAAACATTGGCATATTTGATGAGAGAAGAGGAAAAAGTTGAGATATTGGAGTACAGACGTCGCCCTTGACAGTGTTTACTTCGTTCTCTACATAGGAGGGCGATGATGAGTCCATTATGGCTACCAATCAACTGCTTTTGTTATGAAAAATACAGGAATCACCTGCTCAAATTTACTGATAATGAGTCAAGGTATCTATAGATTGTAAAATGAATTTTATTATATGCTATGCGTCTATGTTGTTTGAACTCTTCAAAGATGTCATTAGGTGTGTGTCGGGTTCTCCAAAAGTAGAGTATATTTAGAGAATTCAACACAGATAGTGCATCAAAAGTGAAGAGTCTGTGCAACTTAGCTAAACACTGCTCTATAAGAGGCTATTAACTTCTGTTCTTATGAAAAATACAGGGAATATTTGCTTGAGTTTATTGGTAGTTTTTAGAATTTATTCTCTTCCCCTAACTAAAAGTCCATTACAACTACCTCATCTTTTCCATGGCGGTCATATGTTCTTTACTTCGATAAATGACATACCATTGTGCAATGAAAATGTTGATAGATTACTATTTGAAAGTGAATATAATTAGGCAAGTTATTTTTCGGATTTTAGTCTTTAGACTGATCAAACATCTCTGATTGATTTCTTTATACTGATATATTTACAACTAATTTGTAGCTCCGATTTAATTTTTATGTTTAAGTCGAACATTTGCAATGACAATGTAATAGATGGAGCTGACCATGTGTTAATCAAGTTAGGTCAAAATCACAACTTAAGAAACTCAGGAAGTCCTACAATCTCCAAAAGTAATGTCATTATATGTTTTTCTAACAGAATTGTCTCTGTCATCAACATGAAGTTTGTATGGCTTTTGAATTACCAAACGAGTTTGGCTTTGGCAAAAAGTATTGTATTAGATAACTTATCTTTGATCTGTTGTAAAAGAGCTTGTTATATCTTAGAAGATGACACCATGTATTAATGTGCAGGAACAAATACTTAACATGAATCAATCGAAGAAGCTTTTTGTTCATACTACCAAGTTGTAATAATTTTTTAATACTGATATGATAATTGTCATTAGTCCATATTAAATTTAACCATTTGAACAGCATTTTACTTAGGTGTACGGTATAATTTTCCGGCAAAGGATGTCCAAATGTAGCTCCGCCCCTGCTTGATGCTCACCTGCATAGTGGGGAAGAGGTTGATGAGTATTTCGTCACCACTGTTTGCATATATGAAAGCGCTACTTATGGTGTTAGGATTACTAATACTTGCTCCAAAATAAGAAGAATAGAAAAATTAAATTATATATACTTCTTTGGTATTTATTTATATAAATAAATTAGATTTGTAAACATTACCGCATTCAAATAGGATTTTTGGAGAAAGAAAAGGGTTTTATATAAAGGGTATTGAAAAAGGTTTTATACCAGTTTTTCATTGTAATAAGAAAAATATTTTGTTGAATAAACTGTTTTCTTGTTTGGTTTATTGTAAGTTGAGAAAAAAATTGTTGCCAAGAGTGTACTATCAAATCATGAGTGATGATTGGGCAGGTAATTGCGTTCTTATGTTAAGTTGTATGTTAAGTTGAAAGTATTAAGAAAGGTAAATCAACATCGTGAAGATCGCATTTTGGTAGAAAGGGAAAGTTGTTTCCCCATCCATCCATATATGTATTTGGAAGAGGAACAGAGAGGCGCTTAATCCTGGAAGAGAAGAGGAAGGAAATAACTAGTTGTCTCAGTTTAGTAATGTTTTAAGATTAGTCAATTTTTATATATAAGTTTTTCTTTTAGTCTTTTTTGATCAATTGCGTACTAATTTATGTTCGATTCAATAATTGATTTAGGTTACGATCCAAATTCTAAGTTCGATAATATTAAAATGCCCTCTATAAAGATCTTAATCTGGATCACATCTTAATCTTAATCAGTTATAGCTGTTACCTGTTTCAAATAATTCTGATTTGGAATTATTGAAAAAAATGAGTTTAAAAGTCAATTTAGAAAGAGTCAGCACGACTTAGATATTTTTTTGTCTGTTTCTTTTTCTAATGACGTAATTATTTCTGCTCTATTATTGTTTACCAAAATTGTATTCAAACAAACAAACAACTTTTAAGTAAAAAAAAAAAAAATCCCTAATAATTGGAGGTATATATTTTCATTTTGCATAATATTTTTTTTAACGGGGTCAAAAATTAAATACCAGCCTTGCAAAAGTCCACTCCACATAAATTTCTGAAATTTAGTTGATCATAATAAGTTGAATAAATTCAATGTAGACACCGTATACGAATACGTATTTTACCAAAAATAGAACAACACTACTGCATGGATGATGCAACTATACGGCAGATGCATGTATTCTTCATTTTTCTTGTCAGAATTTTTTTTTTGAAAAATATTTATTTGAAAACCAATTCAATTACTCCTTCAATTTTAAATAAATTTCAATGTGACAGAAAGTAAATTGCAATTAGAAATAAAATATGAAGAAATAAGAATATTTTATTGATAAGTAGTGCGGATATAATTCCGTTCCTCCCTTAATAAAATATGAAGAAACAAGAATATTTTATTGATAAGTTGTGTAGGTACAATTTTGTTCCTCCATTGATCCTTGATTCTCTCTCTCATAACATTTATCAGGGCCGTTCTTTCTCTCATAACATTTATCGGGGCCGTTAGTGGCGTATTTCTCAAACTAGGATGATTTAAATTTGATCACTTATGAATATTACATTAATTTGTGAAATATTCGAGATTCAAGATGCCTTTTTAAGTAATATAATACCCTTTATATACATAAGCTAGTGCTTAGGGTTAATAGCCTTCAAGAATTCTAACTGAAATCAAATAGAATTGAACACATCTTACCGAATCCCACAAATTTTTAATGTCTACTTTAGGGTTTAACAATTATTTATTTGTTCAAATTGGAAAAACTTAAAACTATATATATATATATATATATATATATATCTTAATATAATTCCATGAAATCATAATCCACCATAATTCCATAAAATCATAATCTGCCCAATTCACTTTGGTTTGAACTGATTATTGACTCGCTTATTAATTAGCTCATATTATTACAATCAATAAAAAATTGGGCTAATATCTAACCCAAATTAATCTCTGAGAAATCTTGTAAGATATTTCCAGAAAGACATTTTTCTATTTAATATGTTGTACATAATTAGCCATAACGAAGAAAAGTAATAATTTTAGTAAATACTAAAAAATTATACTAGAAAAACAAATAAAACATAGTAAGAGATGAAAGGGTTGAGTTTTGACCTGCCTTTTAAATAATTTCACAAAAGTAACTTTTGAACAGACTAATAATCCACTTATTTATTAACTCAATCTATTTTAATCCATCCAAATTCAGTTCAATTGTCACCGCTATATATAGTTATTTGATATGATCCTAAAAGAAGAAAGACATACTTATCATTAAAAAAAAATGATATCAACTATTTCAAAGAAGATTATCAAACCTTCTTCTCCCACCCCATCTACTCAAAGATGGCACAATCTTTCCCTTATTGATCAAGTTGTTGATAATTTGTATATGCCCTTTGTTTTTTTCTATTCAAACCATCAAGTGGCTAAAATCCCAAAACACCAATTATCTGAATTTCTAACAAACTCTTTGTCAAAAACTCTAACATCTTACTATCCATGGGCAGGAAGTCTAAAAGACAATGCTACTATTGAGTGTGATGATAACGGTGCTGAGTTCTTCGAAGTTGAAATCAACTCTTTCATGGACGAAGTTATTCATAACCCTGATTTGACATTCCCTCAAGGTTTATCTTGGGGATATTTGTCGTCATCGACATCTGGTGCCTTAATTGTTGCACAATTAAGTCATTTCGAGTGTGGAGGAATCGCGCTTAGTCTTTGCATGTCCCACAAGGTGGTTTTAGAGTTTGCTCTGTATTTTTTTTAGTATACTTTTCTTTTTCTTCTGATTCGTTCAAGGTTTGCAATTATTAACTTCTGCATGCATGATGCATGTCTTGTTATTTCAAACCTAACAGGTGGGAGACGCGTGCAGCGCTTACTACTTCTTGAGGGATTGGGCTAGGTTAACTCGAGATCCAAAATTAACATTATCTCCTCCATACTTTGTTCAGGATTCACTAATGCCATCAGTACCATTTGATGTTCCTCTGTTTTCCCCTGTTATTGAGCCAAAAAGGATAGATGTATTCAAAAGAGGTTTGTATTCTCTGAATCCAAGATAAACGCACTTAAAGCCTTGGTTGTCACAGAATCTTGCGTGCAAAACCCAACAAGGAACGAGGTCGTGAGCGCCCTCCTCTACAAATGCGCCGCTTCTTCTTCAACTACCAATTTAGGACGATCTCAGTTAGTCCAAACCTCAAACTTGCGAAGTCAAGCACCACTACCACCAACCAGCATAGGAAATATTGCCACTATATTTTTCACACCAATATATGAAAACTACGAACATGACCTCAAACTGCCAAAATTAGTAACCGACATAAGAAAGTCCAAACACGACATGTCCACCAGAAACAATCTACAAGAAAATGAATATATCACAGTGATGTTGGAGGCATATAGAACAGGGAAATTGCCATTCCATCAAAGGAATTGTGATGTTTATACTATTACTAGTATATTAGCATTCGAATTCGAAAAAATAGATTTTGGATTTGGGAAACCTACTAGAGCAAGCCAAGAAAGTGGTTCATTTAGCAACTTGTTTATCTTAATGAATACACCTGATGATCATGATAGAGGAGTTGAAGCCTTTGTAAATTTGAATGAACAACACATGTCTGTTTTCAAGAATGACAAGGACCTCCTCCAATTTGCTACTCCATTTTAAGAGCGTCAAATGAACAAGTCAAAATGAACTGAGTTAATAACGTGTAGTTTACTTTGAAAGTTAGGTCAAAGTGTTCCATTTTACTTTGAAAGTTAGGTCAAAGTGTTCTATTTCTGGAGTTTGTAGCACCTTTTTGAGGTGCAATTTTTCATTTTCTTTTTATCTGTTTATGCATTTCTGTTGTCTTGTTTTGTTGTTTTTGGTTTGTAACTTTGGAATTTGACAATATGTTTGTTTTGTTTGCAACAAATTTTACAGTGATAGAAAAATAAATTGCAATCATAATTAAAATATGAAGAAATATAATTTTATTCATCAAAGATTGTGAGTACAAATTTATTGATTCTTTTCTCATAAGATTGATCCATGATTAGAGTGTTAGTGGCGTGTTTCATGAACTAGGATAATATGTGGAAAATAAATCAACCATAAATAAAATCTGAAAAAATAAAAATATTTTATTGATAAATATGTAGGTACAATTATGTTCCTCCTTAATTCCTCTCTCGTATATTTATCCATGATTCGGGGGCTGTTAGTGACGTATTTCTCAAACTAGGATGATTGATTTTGATCTCTCCATGCATATTCCATTAATTTGCGGAATATTCGATTTATGTAGGCATGAACTAGGGTATATGATTGAGTCCCTTTCACACTTTCATTTATGCATTTTTGGTATCTAGTGTTGTTTTTGGTTTGTAATTTATGGAATTTGACTATACATATATTATTGGAGTTTTTGGTTAATCTTTTTTAAAAAATAAAATTAAAATCTCTACTAAAATTTATCAATCAGAATTTGTTATATGTTTGGGGGAGATTAAAAGTACTCAATTTTGGTATATTTAGAGGATTAAAATTATTTAAGAAAGTATTTCAAAGAAGACTTTGAACCTACCTCAAACATAAGAGATTATTTTTTTAAAAATTTCTTGTTAACATATTCTATATTTTTTATAAGTGAAAATTATAGTAACATGATTATTAGATACATTGTCTCACGAAAATTTTGTTTGACCGTTTTTACTCTGATTGAGCTGACTATCACATTTGACTTTAGGCCTATATACAAATGTTAATGGGACGGGTTTCAATCTAACATTTTATAGAAATATCGTTAAAGACTTTAGCTATTAAGCTGGATGTAATGACACTAATTCAATTGTTAAAGACTTTAGCTTTTAATCTGAATGTAATGACACTAACTCAATTGTCGCTAAATGTTTTTGCGGCAATAATAGGAAAATCTATCCCCACTAAATTAAATATTTTATTTGAACATTCATCTTCAAGTTATTCTGAATTTTGAACAACTCAATTATTTTGTGTTAGTGTGACATTTTGATTGTACTCCCTCTGTCCTTTTTTACTTGTCATTTTAGACAAATCAAGAAAAACAATATTTTTTTACCTATTATACCCTCAATTTATTTAGAAAGTTAATATTTTTGAAAAAAGTAGAACCTCCGTAATGAGTAAATTGATTTTGGAATTCTATCAAATTAATAGGGATAAAATAAAATTCTATCAATTAATAGGGGTAAAATGATAAATTCACTATGTCAATTTTTTTTTTTAATAGGTGTGTCAAGTAAAAAACGAACAAATAAATAAGGACAGAATGAGTATAAAAAATATGCATCTTCGCATTGCTGCATTAGAACGTTGGAGGCATGTGTCCCTAATTACTCCATTTGGATTCAATGCTCACTGGACGTGGTTACCATGACCATTAGTTCTTCATTCAATCTCATAGTATTTTACTCTACTCTTGTCTAGAGTTTGTCGAATTACACTTTGTGTTTGAATTGTTGTATTCTGAAGGGGATAAGTGCATTACTGCTGAATCGGTGAAAAGATTTATTGCAGTGAACTTAAGTCTCCTTAAAGAGAGTGAAATATCAGCGCTTCACCCGGAAGATATTTTATTTTCTTCATTTTCAATTTTCAAATGTGATTTATGATATGGAATTTCACCAACATTTTAAACAATGAAAAAGGTCCAAAAATTAACTTAATATGAAAAAAAGGGAGTGCGTAATTTCGGTTTGGTGGATCGGTCTAATTTAATTCGTTATTTGATTTTGGAGCATGGTTAGAAATGAGGCTGCCGCATTTAGAATTTTGGCAACAATTGTAGGAGGTGTGATGTACATGAATGCACTTATTTCAAGGGAGTGTAACACTTTTCAGTTTAAGCCATTATATTAAAGTTGTATAGTTAAAATCTCGATATGATCTTATTTTGTTTATCATTCAATATGTTCTTTTTTGCTTTTATTGAGGATTCTTTTTAGGGCAAATTACAGAAATCACATACTTTTATGGCAAAATTACAATCTATCCCTTAAAAGTTTATAATTACAAAAATCCCTCAAACGGATACAATAATATAAGTGCTGATACATTAATCTGATGCGCGAGATACATTAATCGTTAAGTAAGATACACTATATTTTATACATGATACACTAATCTTGTAACATAGTGTAAGTTGAAATAACTATGAAGAAGCTTGAAATTGGAAATAGTCATTTTTGGAAAGAATTCAAAATCTGGAAATTTGTTCAAGTATGGGAAAAAAGTGAGTTTTTGGTCAACTTTGAACAGTCATAACTCCTAGATCAGGATGAGTTAGGTGTATTTCCAGTTATTTTTGGAAAGCTCTTGGAATGATCTTTCTAACGCCGCCGAGTTTGCTCGATTCCGAGTTTGTATGAGTGAGTTATGCACTTTGGAAGTTGGGCTGTTGGCACAGGGCAGTTTAGTCCGAATTTGTAAGGATATTTTGGTCTTTTTCCTAACCATTTCTTTTGGTTATATTAAGGTTTTAGACTGATTTTAAATCAGTTTTCCTTTTAAAAGTGAGAGTAAGGGTTTGTGAGTGAAGAGGAGAAGAAGAAGCAAGGATTCGTCAAGATCGTCGTGGTTTTCGTCGGGGGTGATCCCTATTAAGGTATGTGAGATCATAGTGTTGGGTTGGTTCATTCCCCCACACGCCAAGCTTGTTTTAATTCCGAGAAAAGATCGGTTGTGTTTGTTGAAGTTTGTGGTTGTGTTGTTGAAGTTTCTTGTTGGTATGGTGCATGTTTCCGGTTGTGATTTCAAGCTGAATCCATTGTATATTAAGGGGTTTTATGATTCTAAAGTGTTTGGGGCTGGAACCTTTGAAGTTAAAAAGGTTTAGAGTTGGAAAAACAAAGGATAAAAGTCGGATTTTCGGGGAAAAGGCTGGGGCGTCGCGCCAACCAGCGCGCCCCAAAAGAGTCTCTGAACTTCCACCCTTGGGGTGGCGCGCCATGCAAAGCGCCCCAGCAGACCCTCTGAAGTCTGAGGGCTGGCGCCCCGTGCCTCTCAGAGCGCCAAGGACGCCAATCCTTCTCATTTCTTCCCCACTTTTTCATACATGTTCCTTGGTAATGTACCTATGTTTTATAGTTGTTTTCAACACTCTAAGGTACATCTAACCATCAAGAACTCATCCATAAACATGAGATCATTACCCTTGAATTCATAATCCAATTCGAGGAAAGTTAGGATCGAAGTCGAGTGAAGTTAGAGTCAAGCTTAGAAGTTAAGAAGTAAGTCAAAGCAAGTTTTAAAGTTTTTCAAGAGTCTTTATCAAACGTTATAACTTTGTTTTAAGGCTCAAGTTTCAAGTTAAGCCAAGAGAATAAAGTTGAGTTCATTTCTCAAAAGTTATTAGGGAACTAAGTATTCCCAAAGAAGTTTATAAATGTTTTTACATTTGAGTAAGAAAGGATCTATGTTTTCCAAGATAGCATTTGGGCTAAGCTTTGAGCAATTATCTCAAACTAAAGAAAGATGTGTTTAAAACACTTATGAGCTAAAGTAATTTTGGGAGTAGTATTGAGCACCGAATTAGGGAC